AGTTCTGAGATGAGGACTATATACCTAACTATACCTATACGGTACCTTAACATAATATGATATGTGTAGGCACTATACGTATATTATGCTCAATATGCTATTCTGTGGGTCGTCGTCGTCGTCGTAGTCTGCCTCGACGTATATACCTTTTCGCGAACAATGTGTTGTGTATGTATACATTATATACAATGTAAAAATTTMTATATAGGTATGTGTAACATAGACCACCCGGTATTGTACGTGTGTGTGTGTGTGTATGTGTGTGTTGTATAGATGATGATGGTACTTGTGCACGCGCAATTCGTGTTCCGGCGGGGTGCGCGCGCAGAGGCGGCGTCGACGGAGTTGCTTGGCGGCGCGTGAACGAAATGTTTTCGAGGGGATGATTAAGACACGGTGTGGTGATTTATAAAAATGTAATCACTTTGTCCGAGCGAAGACGGTGAAGCGGCGTGTTTCCCCCGGGGACGATGCTCCCCGAGGTAAATGGATGTTATATAGCTATGTGTACATCAACTATGTAGGTATATAATATATACATATATAAGTATATAGTATATGCGTAATACATATATTAGCTACCTATATATATATATATTTATAACCACCCGATGACGCCCCCTATTATCCGAGATCGAGCCTTTCGGTATATAGATATTATGTATTGCGCCGCGTTTTCAGTTTTGTAAATTTTCTAAAATATTTATACTTGCCACGACCAAACCGGCTTTTACGATTTGTAAAAAAATGATAGTAATAATAATAATAACGAAACAACCCTCGTCGTATTATGCAGCGGCGGTTATATACATATATGTATTCATGTTATATATATGTGAGACGACGACGTGTGCAGTATGTGTGTAACATGTATGATATTATCGAACACGGGGTAGGATTCGCGACAATGAAAATGGCCTTCGGGCATAATCCTGTGCATGTACGTATATTGTGTTTTGTGCGGTGTAAAACATCTGTGTTATACACACATCATATTATAATAATATGTGATGTGTGTATGTGAGTAGTGCATTTATATATACATGCAGTGTGCACTCCTCGAGTTGCACCGATGAGGTCGATCGGCGTCCGCTTCTTTAAGGGTACTTAATAATATAATATACGCATGATGTTATTTATTACACAAATAATAATATCACATGTGTTTCGATGGTGATTGTTTAGTCGCCCCCCAGCAACCATATCCCTAACCGTTTGACAATAATGTATATAATGTATATGATTATAATATAGCACGCATGCGCGAATTTTCTACGCTCATAAGTATAATATAACAATACGATGTTCTATATAGGTGTATACGATAATTTTATGCATACGTATTTTTACCTAACGTGGTATATCAGATATATAAATGTATAATACTTAGTAACGGATTAATACGTATAGAATTGCAACATAAAACCTACCATATACGATTTTTTAAATGAATTGATCTTATATATAGATAATAATTTATGAAATATAAGTGCCAATAATAATGTTATAATACTTATA